TGAACCCAGGAGCACTCTACCGCTGAGCTACATCCCCAGCCCTTTTTATTTTTAAGATGGAATCTTGCTCAATTGCCCAGTTTGGCCTTGAACTTGTGACTCCTCTTGCGCCAGCCTCCCTGCCAGCTGGGATTGGAGGCTGCCTCTGGCCTGACTCACTAAGGAGGCAAGTTCTCTTGAGAGAGAAGCCAGATGCCCCCTGGTCCAAACCTGCCCATCCAGCTTCCCCAACAGAAGGAAAACTGAGCCACAGAAAAGCTTGCAAACACCTCCGATCTGAACTGTTTGACTCTTTTCAAATGGTTATCGTGTAATTAAAAATCCAAATAAAACATATATGATGAATACCTCCCATCTCTATCATTACCATGAAGGAATGGGAATCTCTATGGTGGCTGCTCATATGTCATCGATACATCAAGACATAAGCTTGATGAAACAATTCATAGGTATAAAAACTCATAACTCTGAAGTAAAACAGGATGATTTCATTACATAAAATGTTTACAAAGTTCCATGTTGGAGCACAGCTTGGTGGTACCTATCTGTAACCCCAGAAACTCAGGAGGCTGAAGGGTCAGCAAGTTCAAGGTCAACCTTAGCAACTTAGCAAGACCTTGTCTCAATAAAAAGGGCTGAGGATGTAGCTGAGTGATAAAGTTCAATCCCAAATACCAAAGAACAAACACCCAAGCTCCATGTCGGACACTGTTTGCTGCCACCGTGTTGATGGATGAGCTCATGTGAAGCCTACTTCCTCCTGACCCCAGGGAAGATCGAGAGCATGAATAGCACAGAAAATTGGGGCCTCCTGGAGGTGCAGGTCAGCCTTCTACCAAATTCACAGTCCTGACCCCCCCTCAGCCCTCAGGTGGCATCTTTCAAACATGAGATGTGCACCCACCTCTCCTTCCCACATAAGTGGCCCATCCTTGGCCCCTGCGATCTTTTTGCTGGGTTCAGAATTCCTTCTCCAGAGTCCTGGAGCCCCCTCTGTTTGGAACTGACACAGGAGGAGAGATGGGTTTCTCTACCCCACTGGTAATCCATAAATCTCTGAAATTTCTTAAAAAAAAAGTTTTAGTAAGTTTGTAATGAATCACTCACAACAAATTTGATAAAATTTTGACATGAGACTTGACCAGAATTTATGTCAGCTTGAGGCTGAACTTTACATTCCCGCTGGTGTGAATCTTGTTACATGTCACCGCAGTCATATCCACGTGGTTGACTCCATCGCCCAGGGGTGGCATCTGTGGAGTCACCCACGTGGATATGACTGCGGTGACATGTAACAAGATATTTTTCTTTCACCTCTCAATCTGA